CACCATCATCACCCTACTCAGTATCGTCATCATCATCATCAGCAGCATCACCATCGTCTTCTTGTTGTACGGGCGCAGCCCGTAATTTTGTTTTCGGGAAGTAGCGGGAACTGATTGTCAGAACTTACTGACAGAATTGAATCACCAAAACGTGAGATGGCAGTTTTATTTCCGGCGATAAGGACAATTCGCTGGCAGTCTTAAGCCAGAGGATCGAGTATATTTCGCTGGCAGTTTTAAGTGATAGGATGTGAGGATATTTCGCTAGCAGTTTCAAGCGACGGGTGTGAGGATATTGTGCTGTCATCTTTAGGCCGGGGGGTGAGGATATTTCGCTGGAAATTTTAAGCCAGGGCGGTGAGGATATTTCGCTGGCAGTTTTAAGTCAGGGGGTTGAGAATATTTCGCTGGCAGCTTTAGAACAGGGGGTGGAGATATTCAGCTGGCAGTTTTCAACCAGGGGCGGTCAGGATCTTTCGCTGGCAGTTTTAGGCCAGGGGGTTGAGGATATTTCGCTAGCAGTTCTAAGTTTGGGGGGTGAGGACAATTCGCTGGCAGTTTTAGGCCAGGGGCGGTGAGGATATTTCGCAGGCAGTTTCAAGTGAGGGGTGTGAGGATATTTCGCTGGCAGTTTTAGGCCAGGGGCGGTGAGTACATTTCGCCAGCAGTTTGAAGGCCGGGGGTGGAGGATATTTCGCTGGCAGTTTCAAGCGAGGAGCGTGAGGATTTTTCGCTGGCAGTGTTAAGCAAGGGGTGTCAGGATATTTCGCTGGCAGTTTTAAGTCAGGGGCTGGAGGATATTTCGCTGGCAGTTTCAAGCGCTGGGGTGTGAGGATATTTCGCTGGCAGTTTCAAGCGAGGGGTTTGAGGATATTTCGCTGGCAGTTTTGAGTCAGGGTTTGGAAGATATCCGTAAGGTCTTTGCCCCCATGCCGCCGGCCCCCCTCTCTTAGAATGGGACTTGCCAGAGCTGTGTTGGGATGTCTGGATGCTGACGTGAAGCAATGTCGGGACTTCACGCGTGGGCCAATATTAGTCTACGAGGGTTTATGGCTTCGGTGGCGCGAATGTTTTGCAATTTGCGATGGTTAATGGCTTCGGGGGCGCGACAATAGTGTAATTTACGAGGGTTGGCCTCGGGGGCGCAAATCTTATGTGATTAACTAGGGTGTATGGCCTCGGGGGCGCAAATGTCACGTACGATGGTTTATGGCTTCGGGGACGCGAATTTGATGTAATTGGTGACGGTTTGTGGCCTCGGGGACGCAAGTCTAGTGTAATTTACGAAGGCTTATGGACCCGAGGACGCGAATGTTGCTTCTTTGTGGTTGTTGGCTTCGGCCGCGCGAGTATTCTGTACTTTACGATGGTTTATGGATTCGGGGCGCAAATATTGCGTAATGTACGAGGGTTTATGGTTTCAGGAACGGAAGTATGGAGTAATTTACAAAGGACTATGGCTTCGGGGACGTGACACTTGTACACATTACTAAGGTTTATGGCCTCGGGGACGCGAATATGGCGTAATCTACTAGGAATGATGGCCTCGGGGACGCAAATCTAATTTTTTACGTGTCCCACGACCCCCGTTGGAATTCAGACAGCGCGACTCGGGGACGCTAACCAGGACGTTTTTCGGTTCCCCGGCCTCACGCGTTCAGCAACAATTAGTAGTAAGGAAGCAGAAGCCAGGACAGTAACCGTGGAAACTGGAAACTGCAACTGGTACAGGGAGCTGCAAGCCTACTCTTCACAGCCTGATGGCCCTGCAAGGGAGCCAGCAGATTTCGCTGGCAGTTTCAAGCGATGGTGTGTGAGGATATTTCGCTGGCAGTTTCAAGCGAGGGGTGTGAGAATATTTCGCTGTCAGCTTTAGGCCAGGGGGTGAGAATATTTCGCTGAGGGGTGTGAGAGCATTTCGCTGGCAGTGTTAAGCCAGGGCGGTGAGGATATTTCGCTGGCAGTTTTAGGCCAGGGGGCGAGGATATCTCGCTGACAATCTTAAGGGATGGGTGTGAGGATATTTCGCACGTCAGGGGTGTGAGGATATTTCTGGTGTTTTCTCTCGGGAAATTTCGCTTGCAGTTGTAGGCCAGGCAGTTGAGGATATGTCGCTGGCAGTTTTATGTGTAGGGGGTGTGGATATTTCGCTGGCAGGTTTAGGCCAGTGGCGGTGAGGGTATTTCGCTGGCAGTTTTCAGCGAGAGATGTGAGGATACGTCGCTGGCAGTTTTAAGTGAAGGGTGTGAGCATATGTCGCTGGCAGGTTTAATGCCTGGCGCTATGGATAGTTCCCAGACGTAATCAATCAGCACCATGCGCCACGCACGGGGCGACGGGGGGGATGGGTGAGAGGGAGGACGGAGGACGAGGACGAAGAGGAGGTGGCGAAAGGGGGGGGGTGTCGGAGGTAGGGACTGAGAGGAGTCGTGGTCGCTGCGGGCGTCCAAGCGCCACGCGATGCAGTGTTGGGTCTTGCCCTGCCTGACCCAGCCGAAGGCTACGCATGCAGCGCGGTGCTGCGCCCGTATATATGCTCGCCCCTTGGCGTGGGGTTGCAGGGGGGCCAAGGGGAGAGCTGTCTGGTGTTTCTGATCATTCCCACATGCTTCGTGGGGTTCTGGTTTTTTTCCTTCCCGCGTCGCACCCGCGTCTCCTCTTCACCCCTCCTCCTCCTTCGGCTTCTCACACAGCACAGCACAGCACAGTCAGCACATACACATCACATGCCCAGTACAAGACGTGCGTGTAGCATTCGCATTGCACGGCAGGCGTGGCGCTTTCTCGACACCGTAGGGGGTGCGCAGGGGGTGGTCCCCGAGCGTGGCGTCTATGCGGGCCATGGCGCAGGGCATAGCAGGCTTGGCACTTTCTCGACACCATAGGGGGTGCGCGGCGTCTATCCGGGCCATGGCGCAGGGCATAGTAAGCGTGGTTGTTTCTTGACACCATAGGGTGTGCGTAGGGGGTGGTCCCCGAGCGCGGCGTCTATGCGGGCCATGGCGCAGGGCATAGCAAGCGTGGTTGTTTCCCGACACCATAGGGTGTGCGCAGGGGGTGGTCCCCGAGCGCGGCGTCTATGCGGGCCATGGCGCAGGGCATAGCAGGCGTGGCATTTTCTCAGCACCATAGGGTGTGCGCAGGGGATGGTCCCCGAGCGCGGCGTCTATCCGGGCCATGGCGCAGGGCATAGCAAGCGTGGTTGTTTCTCGACACCATAGAGTGTGCGCAGGGGGTGGTCCCCGAGCGCGGCGTCTATGCGGGCCATGGCGCAGGGCATAGCAGGCGTGGCATTTTCTCAGCACCATAGGGGGTGCACATGGGGTGGTCCCCGAGCATGGCGTCTATGCGGGTCATGGCGCAGGGCGTAGCAGGCGTGGCACTTTCTCGACACCATAGGGGGTGCGCAGGGGGTGGTCCCCGAGCGCGGCGTCTATGCGGGCCATGGCGCAGGGCATAGCAGGCGTGGCACTTTCTCGACACCATAGGGGGTGCGCAGGGAACGGCCACCAACATCATTCTTACATGCTTCACTTCAGCTATCATCACTCCAGCCCTACTATAAGTATGTGGGGTTCCTCGGTAGCGTAATTGATTTGAGGTTTTTCTCCCAGGGGCTCCAGGGCTGCCCACTACGCTCCTGGGACTCCAGAGGGCCCCGGTAGATCCCCGACAGCAGCGATGAGATTCATTGCCGCCCAAGAAACATGCGCCCGGGGGTCCGAGTCCTGGTTGGCCTCCCAGGCGGCAACAGATGAGCCAGGCTGCCTCCGAGGGGCCCCAGAGACTGCCAAGATGGTCTGCGTGGCCCCAGAGGGGGCGCCTGGCGCAGCGCGCAGACAGCAGCAAGCAACTCGCAGCAACAAGCCGCAGCAGCCACACGCTGGGCACGCTCGCGTTCGGGGACGGAGAGTTAGCCTTGGTCGCTCCTGCAGTGAAGAACGCGCGCGTGCGAGGAAGGCCTGGGGCGGACACGCCGTCTTGGACCCCCCGATCCCGTCGAGCGCGAATGGCGCCCCTGCGGCCATGAGGGCCCCCGACGGCCCCAGAGCATTCCCAGGATGTCCTCAGGAGGCCGTGTGGAGCTTCTGGAGTGCCTCATGCGGCCCACGGGGCCCCCACGACGCCCTTACAGTCGGGGCCCTGAAGAGGGAACCCTTTTCGTTGGGGAGGGGCTCGGTGTTCCTTGATTGTTATGCAGTTTGCCTTTTGTTTTCCTGAGGTTTTCCATGGCAAATCGAAGTTCAACTTATGGGAGAAAGGGGCCCCGTTCCTTATTCAGGGTTCCTTAGGTCAACGCCCCGACTGTAGACGACGCCGAGAAGGTCCCGACACGTTCTACGATGGTTCCGCCAAAGCGTCCGACATGGGAACCTAGTGTAACTTCATTGGGGTGTCGCGTGTTGTCGTCCAGATCGCTCCGCAAAGGGCCCGACGTACCTCCAAGAGGCCCCTGAGGCCCACGAGAGCTCCCAGGAGGGCATTTAGATGCCCCCCAGATGGCCCCAGATGGGCTGGGCCGCCCTCCAAGATGGCCACAAGACGGCCCACGCCCGCCTCAACACGGCCCCAAGGTACGCTCTGGCCGCCTTCTGGAGCTCCATGGTCCACATTGACTCATGGCAACCATCACCAGCAATTCGCTACAACGGCAGCAAGCAGCACAACGCAGTAGCAGGCACGCAGTACCAACAACACGCTGCAGCACGCGGCAGCGCCAAGCTGCATCAAGCATGGCACGCAACGGCCAGCACCAGACCACAGCGGCAAATAATAGTAACATGTATACCCAACAAGTGGCAGCCAGCATCACCAACCATCTGCAAGCGGCAGAAATCGACAGTGAGTGGACGTGCAATGCATGAAGCAGACCCGAAAGCCGGCGATCCAGAGAAAGCCACCAGCTCCAGCGACACCGCTCGCAGGACCTCATGTCAGCGGACACGCAGGCAAGCGGTCCTCACCCTTGCAGGCGGCTTAGGTCAACGGGCCAGCCCCAGTCAGCTACAGCGCTGGGATCAGCGCGTGCCAGAATGGCGAGCAGTGGCAGCGGTCGCTGGCGCTGCTCAGAGAGATGTGGGAGGCGAGGGTGGAGCCCAACGTCGTCAGGAGGAGGAGAGCAGCAGAAGGAGTAGGAGGAGGAGGAGGAGGAGGAGGAGGAGGAGGAGGAGGAGGAGGAGGAGGACGAGAAGGAGGAGGAGGAGGAAAAGGAGGAGAAGGAGGAGGAGGAGTCTCTACGATTCAGGGCACCTGCTTGTGAGGCATGGCGTGCCCTTGCCTCGGAGGCCCCTGGCCGCCCGCCTGGGCAGTCCAGAGGCCCCCAGATGTGAGGCCCAGGACCTCGCGCTGACGGCCTCCGGGCGCCCGAGAGATCGCCTCAGGGCCGGCCCCAGAGGCCCCCCAGGGGGCCCCGAGACGGCCCAATGTGCATGAAGGATCCGAGGCGCGCCAAAGGGCTCAAGAGAGGCCCGAAGAGGCGCCAGGAGAGGCCCCAGGTAGCAAAACCACACAACTTCACCGGACGTCATGCGTTGCTTGTTGATGTTAGCCGTCCATGCTCGTCGGCCCAATCTTGCTTCAGGATGGCTTCGGGCGGCCTCGGAGTTTCCCAAGGCAGCTCCACGAGAGCCTCAAGACAGCCTCAGGGTGCCCCGAGGCGACTCCAAGGCGGCTCAGAGAGGGCCCAATAGTATCTCAACTCTGCTTCCGGGGCGGCCCAAGTCGACCCCCCGGGAGGGCCCACAGATTGCCCAAGAGCGACCTCAGAGGGCCCCCAGGCCCGCTCAGGAGCGGCCTGCGTTGGCAAGAGGGCGCCAAGACGACCCGAGAGGGCCTTGAGGTGCGGCACGACGGCCCCAGGACCCGTGATGCCCCCAAGACAGGAGAACAGGGCCTCAGTATGGCCCCCAGTAAGGCCCCCAGAGCAGCAGCAATCAGCAGCAGGTAGCACCGGCAAGCAGAACACGCAGGCATTCGCACCTTGCAGCAGGACGTTGCAACAGCAATCGGCAGCAGCATGCAGCAGCTGTTCGCAGCAGGCAGCAGCAGTCACCAGTAGCAGGCGGCGTCAGCAATCAGACGAAGCAGAACACAGCACCCTGCAGCAGCAAACGGCCACAGCAAATACCAGCACATGCAGCACAGCGCAAGAAGCAGCAGCGGTAGGAATCACCAGTAGCAACCAGCGGCATGCAGCAGGCAATGTAGATTGCACGTGGAAAGCGGTCAACAGCACTTTGTAGCCACAATCAGTGGTATAGCGAAGAGCAGCGAACATGATCAGCAGGGCGCAGCAGCAGGCACGCATCAACAACCGTCATTAAGACGCAGCACGCAGCATCGCCAAGTCGCATCAAGTAGAAACACTCGCTAGCGACCACCAGCCAGGAGCGGCGAGAAGCAGTGCACAGCAGAAAACAGCAGTAAGCAACATCGAGCATCATCAAGCAGCAGGAACCGGACGTGCAAGCAATTAGTGAAGCAGGCAACACATGAAGCAGACGAGCAGGGCACAAGTTGCCAGGTCACTAGGCTAGCAACAGTGTTAGCACGACTGTAGGCAAGCAGTCGAGCGGATCCTTATCCATGCAGGCCAGCAGACACTGAACAACAGCACAGGCAAGGTTCGGGCCCAACGTCACCAGTAAAGCCCGACGTGCTTTCATGTACAACTTTTGATTTCCCACGGTTAAGCCTTACTCAGCTACAGCGCCTGCATCAGTGCGTGCGAGTCGGGCGAGCAGTGGCAGCGGGCCTTGACGCTGCTCGGCGAGATGTGGGAGGCGAAGGTTGCGCCCAACGTCATCAGCTACAACGCCCTGATCGGCGCCTCTGGCAAGAGCGAGCAGTGGCAGCTGGTCCTGGCGCTGCTGGGCGAGATGCGGGGGGCGGCGGTGGAGCCAGACGTCATCTGTGCTGCAGTGCCGGGCGCCGCGTGCGCCAGTAGGGAGCGCCCTCCGCCGGGCTCCGAGGCCGCAGAGGCCGCAGCAGGGCTCGTGCCTTGGCATCGCTCGGACGTGTGCATTCTTCCTTCGGCGAGGACCATCGAGGAGCATCCTTGATCATCTGGCGAAAAAACCACGCACGAAACAGAAAAAAAAACACAGGGAATGGACGTCCGAGCGATGGCCAGGTGCGCGCCCCCAGGGGGGCCCCCGAGGTCGCTTGAGTGCCTCCCGCGAGAGGCCCCCCCTGGATGCCGCTCGAGGCGCCCGACGGGCTCCGCGAGAGGCCGCCGAGAGAGGTCCCGGGCCGGACCAGCAGCAAAAGGCAGCGGAAATGATCGGGAGCGGAAAAGAGGGGGGTGATGACTAGGGGGGGGTGGATTTCATGGCGCGGGCCATGATTTTTCCTCAGATTTCATGGCGCCTCTTCTTATTTCATTACGTCCCAGGCCCCCCCGCTGGGCCGCGCACATGCCGCCGGTCATGATTTGCACCCCCCCCTCTTGGACACCCCCCTCTTGGCCGCTCCCGAAATGAGTGTGCTGCTGGATGTTTCGTAGTGTCACATTCAGCGAGCGAAGAACGGTGTAAGATAAACTTTGTCGCTGTCGGCGAAAAAGTTTATATTGTATTGTTCTTCGCCCGTTGATATATATATATATATATATATATATATATATATGCTCTTCGGCTCTGTCTGATTTCGGGAGGGCTTCACACGGCCTCGGAGTGGTTCAGGACAGCCCCGAGAGAGCTTACAATCAGAGCGTGGATTACCTCCCCCGCTTTCGCTTCCAGGCAAAACCAAGGCATGCCACGCGCCGCCTCGTCCAGCGGCCTGGCCAGTACAGGCCGTAGTTTGGCATCGCTCGGTATCTCTTGGAAGCGAGGGTGGTCAAAAGCAAGGTAGGTTTGTTTGCCCCCTAGTTGCATGCTCTTCGGCTCCGTCTGCTTTCGGGAGGGCTTCACACGGCCTCGGAGTGGTTCAGGACAGCCCCGAGAGAGCTGACGAGACGGTCCAAGAGGGCCACACGAGGGCTTTAGAGTGTTTCAACGAGTTCCCGACGCGCTCGAAGACGGTCCCGGCGGCCTCAGGAGGGGCCAAAGGATTGTCAAGAGGCCACCAGAGGACCCCAGGAGAGGCCTACGTTTGCCAACGAGAGAGCCCGCAGAGAACTGCAAGTAGGCCCAAGAGGGCCCGATGCGTATCAAGACGGGCCCAGAGGGACCCGAGATGCTCCTGATGCGATCCAAGAGAGCCCCAGTTCACAAGAGCAGCAGCAACCAGCAGCAGGTAGCATCAGCAAGCAAAACCAGCAACAAACAGCAGCATGTAGCATCAAACATAGCAAACGCAAACAGCAGCCTGCAGCAGGCAGTGCCAGTGATCACCAGTAGCAGGCTGCACTAGCAAGCGTCCAGGAGCAGCGCCAGGCACAAGCACCAGGCAGCAGCACGAGGCAGTGGCGAGCGTTAGCAGCAGCACGCGGCAGCGCCAAGCGGCAGTATGCAGCAGCATACACCAGCCTCGACCAGTCCGTCGCAAAGACCTGCAGGTACGCCAAGCGGCAGCAAGCGGCAGCGATCGGACGCGCAAGCCATGCAGCAGACACGAGAGAGGCAGGCGAGCAGGCTGGAGAGATTTGCAGGCCACCTGGCCAGCAAAAACGCTGGCAGGACTGCCGGCAGCAGCTCAGCATACCAGCGATCCTCGCAATCGTGTGCGTTGGCCGCTTGGAGGATTGCGATCAGATGCTGCCGCTGTCCGTGGATGTGTCCCACGAGTCCACACTGATCACCCTGGTCTGTCATCACGTCTACCATTCTGTGGCCCGTGTGTTCGGGAACAGCCCCTTTCTTGAATGCCCCCGCGAGGCTCCAGCGCCTTCCTGCGACGCTCCCGATAGCCTGTGGCGCAGAGGCCCCACAACGTCAGCAGGCGTCAGCATGCCTCTGGAGTCCTGTAGCTCACGCAGACTGCCCAAGAAGCCTCCAAGACAACCCACGGTACCCCACGACGCCCCACTAGCGGTCCGAGAAGCTCCATGAGGTGTGCGAGAGGCCCCAAGAGACGCCAGAAGTGGTTCTCCGAGAGGCCCCTGGCAACACGACTGTGAATACATGATGGTCCTCTATGTTCTTAGTTGTGCAGGCCTTTCGGCTTCACAGGAACTCAAGAGTCCGTAGATGACACCAGCGGGCTTGCAAGGAGGCGCCAGAAAGCCTCAATCAGCTTCCAGGGCGGCTTAGCAGAGCAACACAAGGGCCCCAGAGCGCACCACAAAGCCCCTAGGACGGCCCAGAGCGGCACACCTATCCAAAAATCGCACCCGAGAGAGCCCTTGGAGGGCCCCAAGGCAGCCAAGGAGAGGCTCGAGTTTGGACGAGGGCCGCTAGAGGGCCCTCTGGCGTCAAAGAGCCCACCCAAGAGGGCCCTGGACCGCCCTTAATCCAGTCCACGAGAAACTTCGCACAACCCCCAAGACCCAAGCCATCAGCAATCAGAAGCAGGCAGCACCAGCAAACCGAGCCAGCAAACGGCAGCGTGCTGCAGCAGCACGCGGCAACAAGCAAGCAGCAGCCAACAGCAACCACCAATCAGTAGCAGAACTCATCAGCCTCAGGCGGCGTCAGCAAGTAGAAGTAGCAAGCCGCACCTTGCAGTAGAGACCACTGCAAGCAAGCGTCAGCTTTATGCATAAAGTACCAGCAGGACCCAGCAACAGCCATCATTACCAGCACACAGAATCTTGCAGCAGCACGCCCCAGCTAGCAACTACAAGCAGCATCACCAACCAGCACCAGGCATCAACAGCAAGCGGCAGCGGCAATGATTAACCGCAGCAAGCAGCAGCATGAAGCAGCAGCCGCAAGCACGCAGTCTCAGCCAGCATCAAGCAGCAGCACGCAGTGGCACGAAACCGTCGCAGGCAGCAGCACGCACCAACAAGCACCAGCAAACGGAGGCAAGAAACAGCACATTGAAGCATGCATCTCCAATGCGCAACAAGCAGTAGAAGCGGCAGGGATTTTCAGGGGCGGACGTGCAAACGTGCGCTCGGACTCGCGGGCGGTAGTGCACGGGCCGACCCCAGTCAGCTACAATAGTGTGATCAGCGCGTGCAAGATGTGGCAGCGGGCTCTGGTGCTGTTCAGGGAGATGTGGGAGGTGAAATTGCAGCCCATGGCTATCATCACGTTATACGCTGCAGGGGCCCGTGCGTGCGGGAAGCGCCTCCGCTCTGTTTTTGGATTGCGGGGGCGGAGGGGGGGGGGGGGCGAGGTCCCCAGAGGCGCCCCGTGAGGCCTCCAGCAGTCGAAGGGACCCTGGAAGGCGCAGCTGGCGCTTCAAGAGAGGCCTCAGGAAGTGCCAAGATCAGTCCTGGATAGTGGACGTCAGCGGCACACTTCAGGCATTCCGATCATTCAGTCGCTTCACTCATTCCACTGGCCCACATTGCATCAAGGTTGGCATTGGATTGTGCCTGGAAGTGCCCTGGGCGAGAGGGTGATGCCAAGGCATGCCAGGCATGCGACTGCGAAGCGACGAGCGATCAGTCGACGGAGCCTCCTCGAAGCGTCGACGTGTGGTCCCGCAGCCCGAAGGTCGGGGCCCTCAAAGGACGAGAAGACAAGGTGTTCAACGTATGGGGCGTTCGCGTGGGGATCATCCGTCAGGCGTCTTTTTGCGAGCGACTTGCGGGAACTCCCGGAGGCTTCACGAGAGTCTCTGGGGTGATCGAGTGGCCTTGTCTTGAGTCTCTCAGAGGTTTCGCGCAACCCAGCGTCTCCAGGCAGCGCATGGAAGCTTCCGCGGGGTCCGCGCAGGGAGTGCTTTGGACCCCTTGAGGGCCTCTGTGGGCGGCCTCCGACCATCCTGGGTCACCTTGCCTCTTGGGGCTGTTTTGGGACAACCTTGGGAACGCACCAATTATTCCCCGCTTTTGGGTAGCTTATGGGACCTCTTCGAGCCATCTTGGGCCTCTCTTGGGGCGCTCCAGTGGCTCCCTCGGGAATGGGCATGCTGAGGGCTGTTTGGGAGCAACCTTGGGGCCTCTCACTTACTGGTGCCCGTTCTCGGTCCCTCTGGTAGTACTCTTGGGGCGCTCTTGGAGCGATGTTGTGGGTGTTGGGCCTTTTCAGAGAAACTGTAGCCGACGTCTACGCGAGAGCGCGCGGAACCGTTTCCAGAGACCAGCAGTAATTATTATGTAGACATCTGTATCCAACAACAACAATAATTTAAAGACTGTTCGCTCTTATCTGCTCGACTGTCCTTTAACTCGTATTTCCCAAAACCTTCGATGCCCGCCCTCTTCGTCTTCGATCGTGCCCCTTTTGGGGGTATACTTTTCTTCCCTGCAAGCCGGGCCCCGGCAAGCGGCCAGGCGGCCGCGGACCGTCGGCCTGGCCAGCGGCAGCGATGATCGGCGGCAGCCCGACGGACAAGGGACCGACCGCGACGACGTCGACGACGACGACGACGACGACGGCGACGACGACGACGAACGAAAGCGATATCGAGAGAGAGAACGACAACAGGGCCACGCAGGGCACGACGTAGGCCACGAAGGGCGACAGCGTGGACAGCGCGGACGAGCGGGGGACACAAAGGGCAGATAATGCGGGGCCACAGAAGGCAAGGACGGGGCCACTGAAGGCAACACCTGGGCGGGGCCGCCAAGGGCGACAGCGGGGCCACGAAGGGCATGCACATGGGGCCCCGACGGGCGCGAACCAGCGGGGGCCACGCAGGGCATGTGTATAGCTGGCCGCGGAGGGCAAGGGCGGGGCCGCTGAGGGCTGCAACGGGACCACGAACGGCAGCGAGGGGGCCACGAAGGGCTGCGACGGGGCCACGGAGGGGATGCATGTGGGGCCACGACGGGCGCGAACGAGCGGGGGCCACGAAGCGCATGCATATACGGGGCCACAAAGGGCAGCGAGGAGGCCACGAAGGGCTGCAACGGGGCCACGAAGGGCAGCGAGGGGCTGCAACGGGGCCACGAAGGGCTGCGAAAAGGGGCCACCAGGGGCTTCAACGGGGCCACGTAGGGCAGCGAGGGGGCCACGAAGGGATGCAACGGGGCCGCGAAGGGCAGCGAGGGGGACACGAAGGGCTGCAACGGGGCCACGGAGGGCAGCGAGGGGGACACGAAGGGCTGCAACGGGGCCACGAAGGGCAGCGAGGGGGCCACGAAGGGCTGCAACGGGGCCACGAAGGGCAGCGAGGGGGCCGCGAAGGGCTGCAATGGAGCCACGAAAGGCTGCGAGGGGGCCGATAGAGCGATCCGGGAATAAATTGTAAGGAAGTCCCAAACGAGAGCGCGTTTCCGGAATAAAATGCGAGGAAGTCTCAGGCTGGAGCGGGAGTCTTGGCTAAATTGCGAGGAAGTCAAAAGCGGGAGCCGTTGTAATTGTTGTTGCTCTTGTTGTTGACTCTTCATTCTTGAATTATTGTTGATCCCCCCCACCGGTGCACATTGTTTTTTTCAATTGAAGTGCCCCCCCCGGGGCTCGCACCCTGTTTTTTGTCAAGGAAAGTCTTCCTGCTCAAACTGGCCCCCTGGCCCCCGGGTTACAACAACAACGGCTCCCGCCTTAGACTTCTTCACAATTTAGCCAGGACCCCCGCTCCCGCCCGAGACTTCCTCGCACTTTAATCAAGAATCGCGCTCTCGCCTGGGACTTCCTTACGGTTTATTCAGGACTCGTTCCTCCTGCGCTCTGGAGTCGCGCTCTCGCTGGAGATTTGCTTGCAATTTACTAAAGAATAGCGCCCTTGCGTTGGAATTTCTTGCAATTTACTCCAGCGCCGCGCTCCCGACATCCAGGCACCCACGAGTCCATATATGTATGCCCTTCGTGGCCCCCGCTCGTTCGCGCCCGTGGTGGCCCTATATGCATGCGCTTCGTGGCCCCGCTGTCGCCCTTCGTGGCCCCCTCGCTGCCCTTCGTGTCCCCGTTGCTGCCCTCAGTGGCCCCGTGCTTACCCTCCGCGGCCCAACCTACGCATGCCCTTCGTGGCCCCCGCTCGTTCGCGCCCGTTGTGGCCCCATGTGCATGCCCTTCGTGGCCCCGCTGTCGCCGTTTGCGGCCCCCTCATTGTCCTACGTGGCCCAAGTGCTACCCTCAGTGGCCCCATCGTTTTCTTTGGGGCCCCGCATTATTTGCACTTCGTGGCCCACGCTCGTTCGCGCTTTTCGTGGCCCCATACGCATTCCCTTCCTGTCCCCGCTGTCGCCCTTCGTGGCCTACTTCGTGTCCTTCGTGGCCCTGCTGTCGTTCTCTCTCGCTCTCGCTTTCGCTCGTCGTCGTCGTCGCCGTCGCCGTCGTTGCCGTCGTCGTCGACGTCGTCGTCGTCGTCGTCGTCGTCGTGGTCGGTCCCCTGTCCGTCCTTCTTGGGGTCGGGTCGACGGTCCGCGGCCGCCCCGCCGATCAGCGCTGCCGCTGGTCAGGCCGACGGTCCGCGGCCGCCCCGCCGCTTGCCGGGGCCCGGCCTGCAGGGAAGAAAGGTATACCCCCCAAAAGGGGTTGGATCGAAAACGAAAACGGCGGGTATCGAGGGTTTGGGAAATTCGTGTTATTCGACATTCGAGCATATAAGGGCGAACAGTCTTAACATGATTGCTGTTGTCGCTGTTGTTGTTGATAATCCGGGGACCAACAACACAGTTTGAGGACGAACATTTCCCCTGATAGAAAACGTGGTGCGAGCGCCAGGAGGGGCACTTCAATTGAAAAATGCAATGTGCACTGGAGGGAGGGGGTCAACAATATGTATTTTCCAGTAGTGAGTGTTCAAAACAACCACGACAATCATTTTAATATTGTTCGCTCTTATCTGCCCGAGTGTCCGTTCACGCGTATTTCCCAAACCCTCGATCCCCCCCTCTTCGTTTTCGATCGTACCCTTTTGGGGGGTATACTTTTCCCTGCAAGCCGGGACCCGGCAAGCGGCGGGGCGGCCGCGGACCGCCGGCCTTGCCAGCGGCAGCGCTGATCGGCGGGGCGGCCGCGGACCGTCGACCCGAGCCCAAGAGGGACGGACAGGGGACCGACCACGACGACGACGACGGCGACAACGACGACGTCGACGACGATGACGACGGCGACAACGGCGACGACGACGACGACGACGAGCGAAACCGAAAGCGAGAGAGCAGGGCCACGAAGGGCACGAAGTAGGCCACGAAGGGCGACAGCGGGGACACGAAGGGAATGCGTATGGGGCCACGAAGAGCGCGAACGAGCGGGGGCCACGAAGGGCAGATAATGCGGGGCCACAGAAGGCAAGGACGGGGCCATTGAGGGTAGCGACTGGGCCACGTAGGACAGTGAGGGGGCCACAACCGGCGACAGCGGGGCCACGAAGGGCATGCACATGGGGCCACGACGAGCGCGAACGAGCGGGGGCCACGAATGGCATGCGTATATTTGGCCGCGGAAGGCAAGGACGGGGGGACTGAGGGCAGCAACGGGGCCACGAAGGGCACCGAGGGGGCCACAAAGGCCGACAGCGGGGCCACGAGGGGCATGCATATGGGGCCACGACGGGCGCGAACGAACGGGGGCCACGAAGGGCATACATATTATACTGGGCCACGAAGGGCAGCGAGGGGGCCACGACGGGCTGCAACGGGGCCGCGAATGGCAGCGAGGGGGCCACGAAGAGCCGCAACGGGGCCTCGAAACAAACCGAGGGGGCCACGAAGGGCTGCAACGAGGCCACGCAGGGCAGCAGCGGGGCTACGAAGGGCAGCGAAGCGAAGGGAGCCACGAAGGGGTGCAACGGGACTACGAAGGGCAGCGAGGGGGCCACGAAGGGCTGCAACGGGGCCACGAGTGGCAGCGAGGGGGCCACGAAGGGCTGCAACGGGTACACGAAGGGCAGCGAGGGGGCCACGAAGGGCTGCCACGGGGCCACGGAGGGCAGCGAGGGGGCCACGAAGGGCTGCAATGGAGCCACGAAGGGCAGCGAGGGAGTCACGAAGGGTTGCAACGGGTCCGCGAACGGCAGCGAGGGGGCCACGAAGGGCTGATACGGGGCACCGAAGGGCAGGGAGATCCCGATTCCCAGGTAATCTGTGAGGGAGTCCCAAGCGGGATTGCGACTCCTGGGTGCCTGAGTGTCGGGGGCGCGGCGCTTGAATACATGGTGGGAAATTCAAACGCAAGGGCGCTATGCCTGAGTAAATTGCAAGCAGGTCTCAAGCGAGAGCGCGACTCCAGAGCGCCGGGAGAGCGATTCCTGAACAAATTGCAAAGAAGTCCCAAGCGAAAACACGATTCCTGAATCAAATGCGAGGAAGTGTTAGGCGGGAGCGGGGGTCTGGGCTAAATTGTGAGGAAGTCTGAAGCGGGAACCGTTGTTGCTGTAACCCTGGGGCCAGGGGCTTAGTTTGAGCCTCGAGACTTTCCCTGATAAAAACAGGGTGCGAGCTCCGGGAAAGGCACTTCAATTGAAAAGTACCATGTGCACCGGCAGAAGGGGATCAACAATAATTATTCTTCAGGAATGAAAGTTCAGCAACGACAACAACAACGACAACAACAACAATAACAGTAACAGCTACAGCAACAACAACAACATTAGCAACAACAGCAACAATCATTTTAAAACTTTTCGCCCTTGTCTGTTCGAATGTCCGATAACGCGTATTTCCCAAACCCTCGATACCCGCCCTTTCCGTCTTCGATCGAACCCCTTTTGGGATATACTTTTCTTCCCTGCAAGCCGGGCCCCGGCAAGCAGCGGGGCGGCCGCGGACCGTCGGCCTTGCCAGCGGCAGCGCTGATCGGCGGGGCGGCCGCGGACCGTCGACCCGAGCCCAAGAGGGACGGACAGGGGACCGACCACGACGACGACGACGTCGACGTCGACGACGACGGCGACGACGACGACGACGGCGACGACGACGACGAGCGAAAGCACGAGCGAGAGAGAACGACAGCAGGGCCACGAAGGGCACGAAGTAGGCCATGAAGGGCGACAGCGGGGACACGAAGGGAATGCGTATGGGGCCACGAAAAGCGCGAACGAGCGGGGGCCACGAAGGGCATACGTATACTCGGCCGCGGAGGGCAAGGACGGGGCCCCTGAGGGCAGCAACGGGGCCACGAAGGGCAGCGAGGGGGCCACGAATGGCGACAGCAGGGCCACGAAGGGCAGGAAGGAGGCCACGAAGGGCGACAACGGGGCCACGAAGGGCATGCGCATGGGGCCACGACGGGCGCGAACGATCGGGGGCAACGAAGGGCAGATCATGTGGGGCCACAGAAGGCAAAGACGGGGCCACTGAAGGTAGCAATTGGGCCACGTAGGACAGTGAGGGGGCCACAAACGGCGACAGCGGGGCCACGAAGGCATGCACATGGGACCACAACGGGCGCGAACGAACGGGGGCCACGAAGGGCACTCGTATACTGGACCGCGGAGGGCAGGGACGGGACCACTGAGGGCAGCAACGGGGCCACGATGGGCAGCGAGGGGGCCACGAAGGGCGACAGCGGGGCCACGAAGGGCATGCATAAGGGGCCACCACGGGCACGAACGAGCGGGGGCCACGAAGGGCACACATATATGGGGCCACGAAAAGCAGCGAGAGGGGCCACGAAGGGCACGGAGGGGGCCGCGAAGGGCTGCAACGGGGCCACGAAGGGCTGCGACGGGGCCGCGAAGGGCAGCCAGGGGGCCGCGAAAGGCTACAACGGGGCCACGAAACGAAACGAGAGGGCTACGAAGGGCTGCCACGGGGCCGCGAAGGGCAGCGAGGGGGCCACGACGGGCTGCAACGGGGCCGCGACTGGCAGCGAGGAGGCCACGAAGGGTTGCAATGGAGCCGCGAAGGGCAGCGAGGAGGCCACGAAGGGCTGCAAAGGGGCCACGAAACAAAACGGGGGGGCCACGAAGGGCTGCAACGGGGCCACGAAGGGCAGCGAGGAGGCCACGTAGGGCTGCAATGGAGCCGCGAAGGGCAGCGAGGAGCCACGAAGGGCTGCAACGGGGCCTCGAAACAAAGCGAGGGGGCCACGAAAGGCTGCGACGGGGCCATGAAGGGCAGGGAGATCCCGATTCTTAGGTAATCTGTGAGGGAGTCCTGAAAGTGAGCGCGACTCCTGGGTGCCTGGGTGTCGGGAGCGCGGCGCTTGAATAAATTGCACGAGTGGCCACCGCAAGGACTCTATTCTTCAGTAATTTGCAAGCAAGTCTCCAGCGAGAGCGCGACTCCAGAGCGCCGGGGGAGCGATTCTTGAATCGATTGTAAGGACGTCCCAAGCGAGAGCGCGATTCCTGAATAAACTGCAAGGAAGTTTCGGGCGGGAGCGGGGGTCCTGGCTAAATTGTGAGGAAGTCTCAGGCGGGAGCCGTTGTTGTTGTTGTTGTTGGTGTTGTTGTTGTTGTTGTTGTTGTTGTTGTTGTTGTTGAATATTATTACTTTTAAAGAATAATTATTGTTGGGCCCCCTGGTGCACGCCCCCCTCGCCGCGCCTAGGCTGCAGCCACATTTTCATCATTTTCGTGAGGAAGTCTCAGGCAAAACGGGGGAGTCCGGATCCGGTTGTTTTGTTGACGCCCGCTTTCCCTGTCAAAAAACAATATAAAATGACATGTCTTGTTCTAACATAGCCAAACTTCAAGAATCCTTTGCAAAAAATGACACGAAGTGCACACTCGCGCGCGCAAGATGAAATCCTTCCAAAACCTTAGTTTTCGTAGCGATTTTAACATAAAAACATGAAAAACCCAATGGTTTTTCAAAAAAAAAGTTTCAAAAATTCATCCCGCGCGCTCTTGCGGATTTCTTAGGAAACCCAATACTTTTTCAACATTTCTGTCAAACGGGCTCTTGCGAGCAACTTTTTCACGTGCTTCGAACTTCTGCAACAACGGTTGCGCGCCTGCCAGGGCCATCATCCCTGTCAAATAATACCATATGGGACACATTCGTTTTTTCTTCGCGCGCGCACGCCGAAATCTTCAAACACCATTGGGTTTCTTAAGAATTTCAGCACCGCGTATCATAAAATCGCACGAATCGCACCGTAGGTCCTCGAAAAACACGTGCACGGATTTTCAAAATTTCTACCCGCGCGCGCTGTCCGAATCCTTAAAAACCAATGGTTTTTCAACATTTATGTTACATGAGCTCGCGCGAGCTACTTTCGCAAGCTCTTTCAACGGCGTTCGCGCGCCTGCCAGGGGCCACAATCCGCCAGTGTAGTAGCCACGCGCCAGTGTAGTAGCCACGGTCGTCCGCAGGCCACGAAGTGAAGTGTCCGAACGTCATAGGGCGGGAAGCTGGGTGTGGGTGGTGGCGAAGAGTCGTTTGGAAATGTGGTAGAGCTTGAACCGGCCCCCCCACAAAGTGGGGGTATTGGCGGGCGTCGTATGAAAACCCTGGCACTGGTGAGAACGGAGTGTCCCCACGTGCTAGTAATTGTTGTTGTTGTTGTTGTTGTTGTTACCTGGGGGGGCCAACGACACAGCTTGAGCCTCAAGACTGTCCCTGATAAAAACAGGGTGCGAGCCCCGCGAAGGGCACTTCAATCTGGAAAAACAAATTGCACCCGACGGGGGGGATCAACGATAATTGTTCTTTAGAAGTGAGAGTTCAACAACAACAATAACAACAATAACAACAACAACAACAACACCAACAACAACAACAGCAGCAACAACAACAACAATAACAACGCAACAAACATAATTCTCACCACGAATTCCCTATTCAGCCATGCCCCCATGGACAAATGACCGTTCGGCCCCCTCACTCTGACTAAATTGTCACGAACTTCCAGACTAGAGCGTTCCAGACTTTAGTATTGAGACTCATCAGACATCTCCAGGCTTTGGCATCGGATCTCTTACGGAAGGTTCGTTCTCCACAGCCGCAATCGGATTGTGGGCCAGACGAGGAGCAAACGAGCAGGCCATAGCAATCGCGAAGCATTAGGATAGCAACAACGCGCGCAAGGCAGCAGGCACCCAACCACTCGAGCAACCGAGCCTTTCTCTTCGGCGCGAGTGAGATTCCGCGGACGGTAGTCCATGGGCAGAGCCTAGTAGTCAGCTACAACGTTGGGATCAGCGCGTGTGCCACAGGCGAGCAGTGGCAGCGGGCTCTCTCGCTTTTCTGCGAGATGCGGGCGGCGAAGGTGGAGCCCGACGCCATCCTGGCGGGGGCCCGTGTCGGGGGGGTGGCCCCCTCCGCGCGCCTCGGGCGCGCGCGCGCGGCCGCGGCCGCGCGAACAGCGTCGTCCAACGGGACATCGAGCTGCGAGCGAAGCGAAGCGGAGCCCGACGCCATCTCTCCCACATGGCGTGCAGCAGCGCGTGCCCGGAAGGAAAAAAACACCCAAAGGTCAGCAGAGCCCTCCCGGCGGGGCCCCGCGCGCTCCACGACGGCGCTCCCACGACGGCGCCTCCACGACGGCGCTCGGGCCCCCAGACGACCCCCAAGACGGCTCGGAGCCGCCCGCGAGAGCGCCCCGACGCCCCGAGGGGACCCTTAGCGAGCCCCAGGGCGGCCGAAGAGTGCCCGACGACAGGCGAGAAGCCTCCCAAGGTGGCTCGGGAAACTTTTCGTCGAGGTCCGAGAAGGCCAAAATGTTTGGTTCCCCCTTGCTCTTTGGAGGTTTCCCAGGCTCTTGCCATCTGAGCCCTAGAATGGCCCAAAAGGGCTCCAGGACCCTGCGAGGACGTCTTGGCACGGCCCACGAGGCCTCCAAGAGAGCCCCAAGACGCTCCCAGAGTGCCCCGAGACGGTCCCACGACGGCCCAGGACGGCCCCGCGACGACCCAGGAGGCGCACAAGACGGCCCAAGAGACACCCAAGACGGCCCCAGGAGTGGCCCAAGACGGCCCAAGACGGCCCAAGAGGCGCCTACGCCGGCCTCCGAAGGCCCCAGCACGGCCCCAGAGGCACCCAAGACGCCCGAACAGAAGAGTTTCTGGACACAGTGCTCTCCGGCGCCTCCGAGCCGCTGAAGGGGGCGCCCCGACGGCCTCATGACGGCTCCGAAACGCTCGGCAGGCCGCCACGACTGCCCCAAGACGGCCCCCATCCGCTGACGACGGCGCCCCAACGACCCCAAGACGGCTCCGAGCCGCTCCAGAGGCCACCCCGACGGCCCCAGGGCGCTCCGAGCTGCTCAAGAGGCCGCTCCAGCGGCCCCAAGGGCTCCTAGGGCAGGCCAGGAGCCTCCAAAGACAGCCCTCCAGGATTCCCCAGGACGGCCCCGAGACACAAAGCATCGCTCCATTCCAATCGGAAAACTGACATTTTTGGCATTCTCGTGCTTTTCGTCTCCGACGTGTCCACGACGGTCACAGAGCCCTCCAACACGGGCCCACGACGGCCCAAGAGGCGCCCAAGACGGCCCCAGAGGCACCCAAGACAGCCCCAAAGACGGCCCTTGACGGACGGCACAAGACGGCCCAAAGGCGATCCCATAGGCGCCCAAGACGGCCCACGACGGTCCCAAGACGGCCTCGAAGACACCCATCAAAGCCCAAAGACTCGCCCAAGACGGTCCACGACGACCCCCAGACGGTCCAAGAGGCGCTCAAGACGGCCCAGGACGATTCCGAGACGGCCCAGACGGCACCGACGAGAGTCCAAGAGGGCGCCAAGAGGCCCCCCGAAGCGGAACAGAAGCCCAAGAGGTCCCCACACGGCCCCCAAGAGGCTCTCGGTGGTTACAGAGTTCCTTCCAACAGAAGGGGGGCGGACGAGAGGTGAGAGGCAGAACGCAGGCCCCAACACCCGTTTTCGATGCTCTTAGGATCTACGATTAACGATCCGAGATCCAGGGCATGCAGGATTGAGACAAGAGGCGGAGGAGGGGGAGGAGGAGGAGGAGGAGGAGGAGGAGGAGGAGGAGGAGGAGGAGGAGGAGGAGGAGGAGGAGGAGTAGGAGGAGGAGGAGGACCAGTGGAAACCCAAGAGTCATCAACGATGTTGGAATTAACCCTCCCTCCAAGCTCCCTCGCTATAAGCCCCTACAACGGTTCATTTCCAAGGAGGGAACTGCCTCGTTGGAAGGCAACAGTTTGAAGATCCTGAAGCGTGCCAAGATATTGTTCTCGGGATTTCAACGCCACGTATCAACCTGATTGCTGCGTCTTGGCGATCCAGAATCGTGCCAGAACGTCATTCCTGGGACTTCAACACCGCGAGACAACATAACTGTTGCACTCGCATATATCCTGAATCCTTCCACAACGCCATTTCTGATACGATGATCATGGAATCCGTGAAATTCTTGTACTTATTTTGAAAATGAATGTGCGCGGCGCTAAGGCGAGAGCCACATGTTTAAAAGGAACCGCCCTCAATCCGTGAAGCTCCTGCAAATATTTAACACGAACGTGCGCGGCGCTAAAGCGAGAGCCACATTTTGAAAAGGAATCGCCCTCAATCCTTGAAGCTCTTCGGAATGTTTAAAACGAATGTACGCGGCGCCAAGACGAGAGCCACATTTTGAAAACGACCCGCCCTCAATCAGTGAAGTTCCTGCGAATGTTGAAAAGGAATGTGAGCGGCGCTAGGGCGACAGCCACAGTTTGAACAAGAGCCGCCCTCAATCCGTGAAGCTCTTTGCAAATGTTTAAGACAAATGCGCGCAGCGCAAAGGCGAGAGCCACCTTTTGAAAAGGAACCGCATTCAATCCGCGAAACTCTTGTAATTTTTAAACGCGAGTGTGCGCGGCGCTAAGGCGAGAGCCACATTTTGAAAACCACCTGCCATCCATATGTGAAGCTGCTGCCACTTTTGATGAAGCTTCAGAGTCATGAGTGGTGAGGGAGTCTCAGGAGAAACGCCCAGCCCTCCCTAAAAACTTTCCTCGGGGTGCGACAGGGAGGAGTTATCTACAAGCAGAAGGAATGGAGGTGGAGGAGGAGGAGGAAGAGGAGGAGGAGAAGGAGGAGGAGGAGAAGGAAGAGGAGGAGGAGGAGGAGGAGGAGAGGAGGAGAGAGGAGGAGGAGGAGGAGGAGGAGGAGGAGGAGGATGATGATGATGAGGAGGAGGAGGGAGGAGGAGGAGGAGGAGGAGGGGAGGCGGAGGCGGAGGAGCAGGAGGAGGAGGAGGAGGAGGAGGAGGAGGAGGAGGAGGAGGAGGAATCCCGAGATGCCCCAGAAGACATCCTCATGAGGGTCCAGATGCCGTGCGGAGCTTTGAACGTGGCCCCAAGACTGCCCAAGAGGAGCCCAGACTGCCAGAGAGGGTCCCAAAGAATCCCGAAGAGGCCTACAAGAGGACCTGAGAGGCCCTCAACCCCCAAGAGGCCGAAAGAGGCGTCAGAACTGCCTTGAAGAGAGGAGCCCCGTTCGGCGCTCCTGTCATGCCCGAGAGAGCTTCGCCTTCAACAGAACTCCAACAAAACGGTCTCCCCAACGTAGCGGAGCACGTCCGACCCAACAGCGATTTTTGTTAAAATCTTCTCAAATTGCACACCCTTTTGAAGCTCTCTTGGGTCCTCCCTGGGGCTCCTTGCGAGCCTCCCCGGAGCTCCCGATGGCTTTCCCCGAGGGCCTCCTGAGCCCTGCCTTGAGCGCTCCTGAGACGCCTCAGATGGGCTTCGACTTTGACGCACATCCCCGAGAGACTCCAAAAACTGACCCCGACAGAGGGGGTGGGCTCCCTGAACCGTTCTGCAAGCCTCGCGGCCGCCCAATCAGGAGCCCCGGAGGCGCCCCAGAGGGACCCCAATTTGACAGCAATCGAACAACACAGCACGTCCGACCCAACCGCAGTTGTTGTTAAAATGTAGTGACATCTGATGGCCCCTTGAAGCTCTCTTGGGCCCTCCCCGGAGATCCGTGCGAGCCTCCCCAGCGCTCCCAGTGGCTCTCCCCGCGGGCCTCCCGAGCCCTTCCCCGGTCGCTCCTGAGACGCCTCAGATTGGCTTCGACTCTGACGCACGTCCCCGAGAGTGCAACACTGCCCCCAGCAAGACTGGGGCGAACGAGTCGTGCGCCGGGGCCAAGCTGCTGGAACGCCGCAAGAGCTCGGACACGAAGGCGCGGTCTTGCTTCCGCCACCCCGGCCGCCGCCGTGCTTGTAGGCTTTCGGCAAAAGCTTCGCCGTTCCTCCGAGAACCAGTCCAGATGTCGTGGACGGAGTCCACGGGTCAGCCTTAGTCAGCTACAGCACTGGGATCAGCGCTTGCGAGAAGGGCTTGCAATGGCAGCTGGCGTTGACTTTGTTCAGCGAGATGCGGCAGGCGATCGTGGAGCCCGACGTCATCTATACTACAATATTGGGCAATCTGCGTGCCAGAAGGGTCCATTCGCTCCCGACGGGCTGGCCTCGGGCTGCGGTGCCTCGGCGGCATCGCTCGGGCCGCGACGCCGCCCTGGGCGCCCAGACGCCTCCCAGACACATCCGGGGCGTTCTGCTCCCAGCGCAATTGGATGCGTGTGCCGAGGTGTTCCGCCCGGTGCCCAGCTGGTGGACGCCCGCGGGCGCCGCGTGGGCGCCTCGTGCGTTGGGCGGCTGCGCCGAGCTTCCACCCCGTGGGCGCCTCGCGGGCGCCTCGTGCGCTGGGTGGGCGTGCCCAAGTTTCGCCTCGTGGGCGCCCGGTGTGCTCGGGTGGGTCTGCCGAGGCTTCGCCCGGCGCCCGCCCGTAGGCGTCTCGTGGGCGCCTCGTGCGCGGGGTGGGTGCGCCCCGGTTTCGCCCGGTGGCCGCCCGTGGGCGCCTCGTGGGCGCCTCGTGCGCTCTCGGTCGCACAGACTGCACTCTGCACAGCTTCTGCTACGGAGCGTGCAAAACACACAGTCTGCAGCACACAGCCTGCGCCACGCAGCTTGGACCACCTCGACTGCACCGCGCAGCTTACACCACATAGCTTGCTTGCACCACTCAGCCTGCACCGCATAGCTTACGCCACATAGCTTGCACCACATGCTTACACCACATAGCTTGCACCACATAGCTTGCACCGCATAGCTAACACCACACAGACTGCACTACACAGATTCTCCTTTCTAAAAAGAGAATAGACTCTACCCCCCCGGACTTAACGCTTCCCCCTGGGATAGTATAATTTCATATATGTTCTGCACACTCATCCATCCTAAATATGAATTCATACCATCCCAGGCAGGCCGGTTTCCCCCCTCCTGAGGGTCCCTTGTAAAAAAAACGCTCTGCGGTGACATTTTTGGTTCTAACATAGCATTTTTTCGCGAATCCCTTGCACAAAATGAGACGAAGTGTGCACGCGCGCGTCGTCGCGCGCGCATGCCGAAATCCTTCAAAAACCTTCGGTGCCGGAAGGATTTCGCAATCGAGTTTCCAAACAACATACAAAAACACATGGTTTCGCAACACTGATTTGCTAAAAAAGCTTCCGCGCGAGCTCTTGCGAAATCTTAAGAAAACCATAGGCTTTTCAAGATTGTCACAAAATGCTACCAAACGGGCTTCGCGCGCGCATGTCGAAATCTGTCGAACGCCCTTGCGCGTGTGCCGTCGCGAGAATCCTCTGCAAAAAATTGGACGCAGTGCAGACGCGCGCGTCGTCGCGCGCGTACGCCGAAATCCTTCAAAACCCATCGGTTTCGGAAGGATTTCGAAATCGCGCGTCCAAAAAACCTACAAAAACCCAAGGTTTCGCAACACGGATTTTCAACAAAAGCGTGCGCGCGCGCTCTTGCGTCGTCGTCGTCGTCGTCGTCGTCCGTCCTCCCTCCTCCCGCGTCGTCGTCGTCGTCGTCGCCTACGTCGTCCTCTGTCTTTCCTCGTGTTCGTCGTCGTCGTCCTCTTTGGCGTCGTGGTCGTTTCCGTCGTCGTTGTCGCCGTGGTCGTCCTTCCTCCTCCTCCCTCGTCGTCGTCGTCGTCGTCGTCGGCGTCTCGTCGTCGTCCCTTCTATTTCGTCGCCGTCGTCGTCGTCGTCGTGTCGTCGTCGTCGTCTTCCCTCCTCCCTCGTCGTTGCCGTCGTCGGCGTCGCCGTCCTTCCTCCTTCTTCGTCGTTCGCGTCGTCGCCGTCCTCCCTCCTCCCTCGTCGTTGTCGTCGTTGTCGCCGTTGTCGCCGTCGTCGTCCTCCCTCCTCCCTCGTCGTCGTCTTCGTTGGCGACGTCGTCGTCGTCTTCGTCGTCGTCGTCGTCGGCGTCGGCGTCGTCGTCTTCGTCGTCGTCGTCGTCGGCGTCGTCGTCGTCGTCCGTCGTCGTCGTCGTCGTCGTCGTCGTCGTTGACGTCGTCGTCGTCGTCGGCGTCGTCGTTGTCGTCGTCGTCGGCGTCGTCATCGTCGTCGTCGTTGTCATCGTCGTCGTCGTCGGCGTCGGCGTCGTCGTCGTCGGTTTCGTCGTCGTCGTCGTCGTCGTCGTTGTCGGCGTCGTCGAAGTCGTTGGACACGTCGTCGGTGTCGTCGTAGTCGTTGTCGGCGGCGTCGTCGTCGTCGTTGTCGCTGTCGTCGTCGGCGTCGCTGTCGTTGGCAAGTGCCATTTGGTACCCACCGTCACGGTCTTAAGAGATTTTGCGAAACAAGTTGCGGGTGGGTGGGTGGGATGTTTGCGCGAGCAGTGGAGTGGTCAAGTGCGGTGCAGGGTAGTCAGTCACACCCCATAGCTTGCACCACATAGCGTTGACAGCCGCAGTGGAATTCATTATTCTGTGGGGTTTCTGCCGGCAAACATGTATTTGCAATCGTTTTGGCTTGCCGAGCTCCAGGTGGCCCCAGGGAGGCCCCAGGGCGCTCCATGAAACTCTCGGGACGTTCAATCCGGCTCCGAGAGGTTCGGAGGACGGCCTTCAGAGTGCTCCCAGAAGGCCCAATGCGGGTGTCGGAGAGCCCCCAGACGGCCCGAGAGGAGCTCTAGAAGGAGCCATCAAATCCCAAGAGGCCCCTGGAGAGCCCCGAGACGGCTCAGGACGGCACAAGATGGTTCAGGACGCCCCCATCACGGCCCCAGAGTGCCCCAGAACAGTTCCCAGATCCAGCAGTAGCAGCAACGCCAGCAACGGCAGCCATGAGCAGCTAGTAGCATCACCCATTAGCAGAACTCGGTGGCAGTTAGGCTAGCAGCAGGCATCACGGAGCAACAGCAAGCGGCAGTGAGCGACAGCCAGCGGATGAGCAAGCAATGACGCCAGTACGCAAGAGTGCAGACCAGCAGGCCAAAAAACAAGCAGGCACGCCGCAGGCACGCAATCTGTCGGGGTCAGCATGCCAGAAACCCGTCAATTAGAGTAGCCTGCAGCAGCTAAGCATGCACCCAAAACTATCATCAACCAGCATCAACCTCCAGCATAATACAGCAATTGCAAGAAGCAGCAAGCAGCGGCAGCACGTACCGACAGTTGCAGCACTAAGCAGCAAGCAGCCGCAACAAGGCGCAGCAAATGGTATCCCGCGCCAGCAAACAGGCAGTAGCAGCAGACGCTCCAAACAACAGCAAACGACTCCAAGCAGAAATCGGCAGCGAGTGGACGAGCAAGCGATGAAGCAAGCCATGAGGCAATCCGACACACATACTATCAGCACCGTTGGCCAGCATGCAAGCGGCGCCTCGGGGATGAAGTTTTGTTGGCCGGCTAGCAGCCATGCTCGCAATATAGCTCGCAAGCATGTGTGCACGCAACCGATCTGAGATCTTGCATGCGAGTGAGCTGTCGTGGATGCGAGCCCACGGGTCAGCTCTAGTCAGCTACAGTACTGGGATTAGTTTGTGCGAGAAGGGCTTGCAGTTGCAGCGGGCTGTGGCACTGCTCAGCGAGTTGGTGAAGGCTACTTCGAACCTCACGTCATCATCATATATACAATGCTGAGAGCCGCACGTGCGAAGAGGGACCTCGCTTATCGAGCGGCCAGCCCACTGAGGGCCAAGCGGCAGGCCCAGGTAATCCTAGACGGTCCATGCGGTTCGACAACGCCTCCAGGAAGCGGTTCAGACGGCAAAGCAGCAGGCCCCACGACGGTTCAACACGACCTATACGCCCCCAGTTGGCGCCACGGCAGCGCCAACATATACCACTTCGGCTGTAAGCATGAGAACTGGTGGGCATAATACCTGGGAGGGTATATCGTATATTGTTAGCACTCTCCAGCGCCGATCACTGAGCCCGCCCAAGGGAGCCCTAGAGGCCCAACTGAGCCTTCGAGAGGGCCCAAGACTTCCCCACAACGTAGGAGGCTCACGAGGGTCCCGAGGGATCCCAAGATGACCCCGAGATGTCGCCAACGAGGGCCCCAAGAGAGCCCAAGAAGGCTCCGAGGCAGTCCCAAGAGGCCTCCAGAGGGCCTCCTTCTTCCCCGAAGGGGAGGCACAGGGCCTCCCATCGTTCCTCCTGGAAGGGCAGCTGCAAGACACGTTGGATCCTTGGTCCTCCTCCTGCGACACATGTTCCTCCGCATTCGCCTGCCCGCCCTCCTCTCTCATCCATCCCCCCCCCTCGTGCTTGCAGCGCAGTCGCTCCCCCAGGCAGCAGACACCCTGGACACTAGCTTCACGGGCTGCCGTTGCTGGAAGACAACGCAAAAGCAGGCAGCCAGGCGAGCGAACCCCAGCCTTGTGTTCGACTGGCCTGTTCAAGCTGAGCTCCCGGTCCTTTAGCTGTCGTTCTCGCTGTTTGCCAGGTGAGGCAATCACAGGGCAGCAGCACCAAACAGTAGCAAACATAGTCTGTAAACATCAGCAATCCTCAGCAGCAGCATGGATTCGAAACAGCAAGGAGTAGCACGAGCCTTCTGCAAATAACATAGCCATGGAGTAGCAAGATGATGATGCAGCCGCAGCCCACCATGAGAGTAATCCACGGGTCCACGCACATCAGCTACAACGTTGTCGTCCGCGCGTACGAGAAGAGCAGACAGTGGCAGTGGGCTTTAGCGCTGCTCTGCGAGATGATGGATGCGAAGCTGGAGCCCGACGTCGTCTCTTCTACACTATCCGAAGTAGTGCGTGCGAGCAAGGCGACCAGTGTAAGCGTGACTCTTGAGACAGAGCCACTTAAGAGGCCCACAGGGCGCCCTGACGGCCCCGACACGTTCCCAGCGCGAACTGGAAGAGTCCAAGACGGCCACACTCGTCGTATCGATTAGTGACAAATTCTTCTTAAAGCTTCCGCCTCTCGCTGGCCCAAGGCAAGCCCAACCCAAGACGACCCCAACATTGCAGCACTTGCTTGCGATGGGGTCATCTACGGGTCACCCTACTCTTGCCATCAAGCTCGGATCGGCCCGCGCGAGCAGTCAAAGCAGTCATGTAACGCAGGCTTTGCCATTGTCCAGCGAGTTGGGAGACGTTTTTTCAAAGATCTGCTGCAACGTGTCTCATTTACATTGCCGTGCAAATTTGTTTGCGAAGTCCTCAATTGAATGTTCTGCTCGTTTCCGCCTTTGCTCCCCCCGCTCGGCTACCAGGCTCAGCTGGAGCAGAGCCAACAGCAGCATCATCATGAGCGCCCCGGTTTTCTTCACGTTTTGACTCGGTCAGCCGACAGCAACATGCGGCAGCAGCCAGCAGTGCCAGCAGGCAACTTTAGCAAGTGGCAGAAGGCAACACAATGCATCTGCACGCCTCACCATCATCTCGAATGTGTCCCAGAGAGGCCAAACACAGGAAACACTACGGATGCCATCATTTTATGTTCTGGTGTGGCTTCGCTCTTCAGAACCTTCTGCCCAACATGACTCTAGGAAAAACTTCACTTGACCGTGGGTCGCCCTGCCCTGAGAAATTGGAGACGGCCCCAAGAGGTCCGGTCCCTGGAGGGTTTCTTCAGGGCCCCATGATGGCAGCAGCAAGCAGTGGAAATTCTTGTCGCTTCGCGTGTCACCACCAGCCCATCCAGAGTCGGTTCCTGGGCGATCTCAGAGAAGGACGGGGTTGCACTGTGAAGCAGGGGGTGGGTGTGGGGCGGACAGTGGGGCCATCACTTTCACGCTCCCCTTCCAGCTCCCTGGATGAGCACGAGGGCCACCCACAGGAAGCATGCGAAGGCCTTTCTGGATCACCCTAGAGTCCTTCACCTCAGCGGTGACAGAAATGAGCAGGCGTCAACGACAAAGATGTTGGCTTCTGGAGTCCGATGATCCCGCCCACCAAGAGTGACCAAGCACTAGCCTCTGGGAAACTCGTGGACCGAGTTAAGAAAAGGGAGAAGTGTTTCATTACTATGTGTGCTTTGCCGGTCAGAGCGGCCAGAGTTTTCGGACGAGGGAACGAGCGGGGTGAAGGATATGAGGCGGAAGAGAGACGATGATGACGACAATGACGACGACAACGACTGCGATGATGATGACGATGATGATGATGATGATGATGATGATGATGATGATGATGATGATGATGCCGATGATGATGATAATGATGTTGTTGATGATGATTATGATTAGGAGGAGGAGGAGGCTGAGGATGAGGATGAGGATGATAATAATGCTGATGATGCTGATGCTGATGTTGATGATGATGGTGGTGGTGACGATGATGATTGTGATGGTGATAATGCTGATGATGCTGATGATGGCGACGAACATGTTAATGAATACGACGATGAGGATGATAATGCTGATTATGATGATGGGAATGATGGTGACTATGAATATGAGGATGTTGATGCTGATGCCGATGCTGATATCGATGCTGAAGCTGATGACGATGATTTTGATGATTATGATGAAGATTACGATGATGCTGATGTTGCTGATGATGATTGTGATGCTGATGATGGTGGTTGTGATAATGATGATGGTGTCGATGCTGATGCTGCTGATGATGATCATGATGCTGCTGATGCTGATGATGATGCTGATGTTGATGATGCTGATGATGGTGATGATGGTAATGGTGATGATGCTGATGATGATGATGATGATGATGATGATGATGGTGGTGGTGGTGATGATGATGCTTCTGCTGCCGCTGATGATGATGCTGATGTTGCTGCTGCTGCTGCTGATGATGATGATGATGATGATGATGATGCTGATGCTGATGTTGATGCTGATTCTTATTTTTAGGAGGATGGCGATGGTGGTCGAGAAGGGCTTGCAGTTGCAGCGGGCTGTGGCGCTGCTCAGCGAGTTGGTGAAGGCTACTTCGAACCTCACGTCGCCATCATATATACAATGCTCAGAGCCGCACGTGCGAAGAGGGACCTCGCTTATCGAGCGGCCAGCCTACTGAGGGCCAAGCGGCAGGCCCAGGCAATCCTAGACGGTCCATGCGATTCGAAAAAGCCTCGAGGAAGCGGTTCAGACGGCAAAGCAGCAGGCCCCACGACGGTTCAACACGACCTATACGCCCCCAGTTGGCGCCACGGCAGCGCCAACATATACCACTTTGGCTGTAAGCGTGAGACCTGGTGGGCATAATACTTGGGAGGGTATATCGTATATTGTTGGCACTCTCCAGTGCTGATCTCTGAGCCCGCCCAAGGGAGCCCTAGAGGCCCAACTGAGCCTTCGAGAGGGCCCAAGACTTCCCCACAACGTAGGAGGCTCACGAGGGTCCCGAGGGATCCCAAGATGACCCCAAGAGGTCGCCAACGAGGGCCCCAAGAGAGCCCAAGAAGGCTCCGAGGCAGTCCAAGAGGCCTCCAGAGGGCCTCCTTCTTCCCCGAAGGGGAGGCACAGGGCCTCTCATCGTTCCTCCTGGAAGGGCAGCTGCAAGACACGTCGGATCCTTGGTCCTCTTCCTGCGACACATGTTCCTCCACATTCGCCTGCCCGCCCTCCTCTCTCATTCATCCCCCTCCCTCGTGCTTGCAGCGCAGTCGCTCCCCCAGGCAGCAGACACCCTGGACACTAGCTTCACGGGCTGCCGTTGCTGGATGGAAGCGCAAAAGCAGGCAGCCAGGCGAGCGAACCCCAGCCTTGTGTTCGACTGGCCTGTTCAAGCTGAGCGCCCGGTCCTTTAGCTGTCGTTCTCGCTGTCTGGCTCCCTGGCGAACAGGCCAGCAACGAACAGTTCGGGCGCACTGTCGCGGAAGAGAGCCCACGGGCCAGCAAGGTAGTGCCAGGGAGGCCCCGGGCGGCTCCGAGATGGTTCCGCGCAGGGCTTCCTGGATGTGAGCATCGCACAGCTCCAGTCGTTCATGTGCCTCTTGTGCTGTTCCCATGCCAAGGCTTCACACTGCTCCGACGAGCCCCAGAGCTTCCCAAGAGGGCCCCAGAGGCCCGCACGAGCCCCCAAGAGGGCCACAGGTGCCGCCAGAGTGGCCTGAGATGGCCTTCTGCCGGCAGCCACGCTGGTCCCCAGTCGGCTCCAAGACGCCACAAGTCAGGAGGGGAAAAAACACACAGACACAATGAATCGCCAATTCCCAGGGACATATGGGAAAATATGGACAGTGGGGGGAAAGACAGAAACGCAGAAAATCTGTGAAAATATGTGGAATCCTGTTTTTTTTTTTTGTGTGTGTGTGTGTGTGTGTGTTTGTGCCCCTTCAGCAAGGCCGCCCCCGAGGTTCCCCCAGGATGCTTCCAGGCGGCCCTCTTGTCCCAAGCTGGGCCCCGAGAGGCTCCCAAGGGGCCCCAAAGGCAGCCCCGAGAGGAGAGGCCCCCCCCAAAAAGAGCGCTCCGAGGGAGCTCAAGGAGGCCACGGCGTGTAGCCCCACGACGTGCCTCCCAGCGAGCACCAAGGCAGGACGAGCCAGCTCTCCCAGAAAGCACAAGCCAGAGCCATAAGCATCAGAGCTAGCAGCATCGGGCTGAGGCAATAGCCTACAGAGGCAACCACCAGCAAACAGTAGCAGCACGCCCAAGAAAGTCCCAAGACAGCCCCAAGACAGCATCAAGACTGTACGCGCCACAGAGCGCAGCAACCACGCAGCTGAGTCATCCTCAACTGGGTTAGCAGCAGCCAGGTGAGGTAGTCACAGGACAGCAGCCGCAAACAGTAGTAAACATCATCTCTTTACATCAGCAATCCTCAGCAGCAGCATGGATTTGAAACCGCAAGGAATATCGCGCGCCTTCTGCAAATAACATCGGCAATACATAGCAAGATGATGGTGCAGCCCACCATGGAAATAATTCACGGGTCCACGCCCATCAGCTACAACGTTGTCGTCAGCGCGTGCGAGAAGAGCAAACAGTGGCAGTGGGCTTTAGCGCTGCTCTGCGAGATGATGGATGCGAAGCTGGAGCCCGACGTCGTCTCTTATACACTATCCGAAGTAGTGCGTGCGACAAATGCGACCAGTGTAAGCATGACTCTCGAGGCAGAGCCGCTCAAGAGGCCCGCAGGGCGCCCTGACGGCCCCGACACGCCCCCAGCGCGACCTGGAAGAGTCCAAGACGGTCACACTCGTCGAAGCGATTAGTTATATGTTTTCTTATCGCGTCCTCCTCTCGCTGGCCCAAGTCAGGCCCAACCCAAGACAACCACAACATTGCAGCACTTGCTTGCGATGGGGTCATCCACGGGTCACCCTACTCTTGCCGTCAAGTTCGGATCGGCCCGCGCGGGCGGTAAAAGCAGTCATGTAACGCAGGCATTGCCATTGTCCAGCGATTTGGGAGACGTTTTTTCAAAGTTCAGCGGCAGCGTCTCATTTACATTGCCGTGCAAACTTGTTCGCGAAGTCCTCAATTTCATGTTCTGTTCGTTTTCGCCTTTGCCCCACCCGCACAGCTTCCAGGCCCAGCTGGAGCAAGGCCAACAGCAGCATCATCATGAGCGCCCCAGTTCTCTTCACGTTTTGATTCGCGCAGCCAGCAGCAACATGCGGTAGCAGCCAGCAGTACCAGCAGGCAACACCAGCAAGTAGCAGAAGGCAGCACACTGTATCAGCACGCCTCACCATGATCCCGAATGTGTCTCAGAGAGGCCCAACACAGTAAGCAATATAGATGCCATCATTTTATGTTCCGGTGTGGCTTTGCTCTTCAGGACTTTCTGCCCAACATGACTCTAGGAAACACTTCACAGGACCTTGGGTCGCCCTGCCCTGAGAAATTGGAGACGACCCCAAGAGGTACAGTCCCTGGAGGGTCTCTTCAGGGCACCAAGATGGCAGCATCAAGCAGTGGAACTTCTTGACGCTTCGCGAGTCACCACCAGCCCATCCAGAGTCGGTTCCTGGGCGAGTTGCCTTTCTCAAAGAAAGACAAAGTTGCTCTGTGTAGCAGGAGGTTGGGTGTGGGGCGGACTGCGGGGCCATCACTTTTACGCTCCCCTTCAAGCTCTCTGGATGAATAGGAGGGCCACCCACAGGAAGAATGCGAAGGCCTTTCTGGATCACCCTGGAGTCCTTCACCTCAGCGGTGACAGAAACGAGCAGGCGTCAACGACAAAGATGTTGGCTTCTGGAGTTAGAGGATTCCGCCCCTCAAGAGTGACCAAGCACTAGCCTCTGGGAAACTCGTGGACCGAATTACCAAATGCGAGAAGTGTTTCACTTCGAACGCAGTGTGCTTTGCTGGACAGAGCGGCCAGAGTCTTCGGACGAGGGAGCAAGCGGGGTGCAGGATATGAGGAGAAGGAGGACGATGATGATGACAATGATGATGTTGATACTGATGACGATGATGATGATCATGAGGAGGATCAAGAGGAGGATGAGGATGATGAGGATGAGGAGGAGGATGATGATGATGATGAGGATGGTGATGCTGATGACGATGATGCTGATGATGATGATGATGATGATGATGATGATGATGGTGGTGGTGATGATAATGATCTTGATGGTGAAGAGGTTGACGATGATGCTGAGCTGGTGACGAATATGCAGATGGATACGACGATGAGGATGATCATGCTAATCATGATGATGAGACTAATGATGACGATGCGGATGCGGATGATGATGATGCTGAGGATGGTGATGAGGATGAGGATGCGGATGAGGATAACGATGGTGGTGATGACGATGCCGATGATGATGACGATGACGGTGACTATGACGCTGACGATGACAATGATGATTATGTTGCTGATGATGATGATGATGATGTTGCTGATGATGTTGGTGGTGGTGGTTGCGGTAGTGGTGGCGACGAGGGTGAGGAGGTGATGATGCTGCTGTTGCTGAAAACGATGATGATAGTGGTGGTGGTGGTGATGATGACGATGACGAGGTGATGATTCTGATGAGCAGGAGTTGGGGGAGGAAGGAGGAGGAGGAGGAGGAGGAGGCTGCTGGTGATGATGTTAATGCTGCGTATGATGGTGCTGATGATGCGATGAAGATGGTGATGATGATGTTGATGCTGATGATGACGATGCTGATGAGGAGGAGGAGGAGGAGGACGATGTGATGATGCTGCTGCTGCTTATGATGATGCTGATGAGGAGGACGACGAGGAGGAGGAGCATGGTGATGATAGGAGGAGGAGGAGGAGGAGGAGGAGGAGGAGGAGGAGGAGGAGGAGGAGGAAGAGCAATGTCATATACGAACTACGAAGGATGGCCATTCGGTAAACCACTTATGCCCAAAGGGCTGCGTGTATTACGAGCAATCAGCAGCGCGGTACCCTAGCCTCCAAGATAGTCCCAATGCGGCTCCAAGACTGCCCACGCCCGCTGCAATATTGCCCCACAAGGAACCATTTCAGAGTACCCCCAGGCCTCTGCCAAGGGCCCCGCGAAGCCTTGAGCAATCCCAATATGGCCTGGCAAGGTCCCACGACAGCTCCAACATTTCTCCAAGATGCTTCAACAGATCTCCCATATCACCTTCGAATTCCCCAGAGGTGGCCCCAGGATATCTCTTCTGGGGACCCCCCAGGCCTGCAGGAATGCGCAGCAGCGCGCGGCAGCGAGCAGCAGCGACCGCTACCGAGCAGCAGCGAGTGCCAGCAGCACGTCGCATCAGTAAGCAGATGAAGCATGCGGCGGCAAGCTGTCAGGCCACCATGCGCAGTCTCGAGAGCACACGTGCAGGCAAGCAGGCCAGCGATCTCTACCCTTGCTTGCGGCGAGTAATCTCTTGAGGCCGCTGGGAGGATTCCGATCAGATCCGGCTGCGTGCCATGGATTATTCCATGGGCCCACTCTGGTCTCGTATGCTTATACGCATTGCGGAGCCCCGTTCGTGCGAGGAGGGTCTGTGCATCAGCCGACTGGCGGCTCCTCGAGAGGCCCCTGGCGAGCCCTACGAGCACCAAGAGGGCGCCATGGGGCCATCAAGATGGCCCAACACAGCCTCCAATATCGGCCCGACATTGCCAAAACTTTCTCCGAGAGCTACCCGAGAGGGCTCCAAGATGTTCCGAGCGGCTCCAAGAGGCCCCGAAGAAGACCACACAGGCTCCAAGAAGCGTCCTAGGAGAGGGTCCAGTACACGACTGGGAAGAGGGAAAAACATGCCCCAGGCCAATCGTCAATCAATGTCTTTGGCTTTTCAGGGTTCTCGGCTTCAGAAGGCTCCAAGACGGCTGCGAGGGAGCCTCTTCGGATTCTCGTCGGCCGGCGTGGTGCCTCTTCGAGGCCTCTTCCACTGGCTCTGCGGGGCCTCTAGGTGGCGCCTTGCCCGCCCAGAAGGCCCGAAATGTCGGTCCGCCCCCCCGGAACTGCCCAAGGCTGCCCCACGATTGCCGCAAGGCAGCCCCAGACGGCCCCCAGATCCCCCCGTAGACTGCCCCCAGACCCCCAAGGGAGCCCCGCGAGGTTCCAGGGGAGAGCCCACAATGGCCACGAGAAGCAGCATCAGACGGGGGCCCGACGAGAGCCCAGGCATGCTCTGGGATGCCCCAAGCGCGGCCCCAGAGGGAATCAAGAATGGCGAGCCACTCTTTGTTGGCGCACGTTGGAGCTGTATCTTTCGCTGCCCGGCTTGCCTGGCGAACTGCTGTTTTATTGCGCTGGCCTCACGGCCTGTGCCGCCGACCCTGGAGGCATCGGCTCTCGAGGGAAACGGGGGGGAGAGGGCCGGGAGGAGGAGGAGACGGAGGAGTGAAGGAGGAGGAACAGGTGGGAGGAGGAGCAAGAGGAGCATGAATATGCGGAGGAGAAATGGAAAAGGTAGAGAAGGGGGAGCAAGAGTTGATGGATGGAGCAGGCAGGGACGACGAACGTCGCACCCGTCACGTTGTCGACGTCGCACCCGTCGTCGTTGTCGTCGTCCTTGTCGTTGCCGTCGGCACCGGGCCTCCAGGACAGAATTTAACACGAGAGTGGCGTGTTAAATTCTGTCCTCGTGTTGTCGTCGTCGTCCGCGTCGTCGGCACGAGGACCCCGAGGACAGAATATAACACGAGAGTGGCGTGTTAAATTCTGTCCTCCTGTCGTCGTCGTCGTCGTCGTCGTCGTCCGTCGTCGTCGTCGTCGTCGTCGTCGTCGTCGTCGCACCCGTCGTCGCGACGACGACGCGTCGTCCTTGTCGTTGTCGTCGGCACAGGGACCCGAAGGACAGAATTTAACACGAGAGTGGCGTGTTAATTTCGTTTCGTCGTCCGTGGTCGTCGTCGTCGTCGTCGTCGTCGACGTCGCACGCTTCGTCGTCGCCCTCGTCGTCATCGTCGTCGTCGTCGTCGGCACCAGGACCAGAAGGACAGAATTTAACACGAGAGTGGCGTGTTAAATTCTGTCCTCGAGTCGTCGTTGTCGTCGTCGTCGTCGTCGACGTCGACGTCGTGGACGTCGCACTTGACGTCGTCGTCGTCGTCCTTGTCGTCGCGTCGGCACTAGGGCCCCAAGGACAGAACTTAACACGAGAGTGGCGTCTTAAATTCTGTCCTCGTGTCGGCGTCGTCGTCGTCGTCGACGTCGCACGCGTCGTCGTCGTCGTCCTCGTCGTCGTCGTCGTCGTCGGCACAAAGACCCGAAGGACAGAATTTAGCACGAGAGTAGCGTGTTAATTTGAGATGCCTCTTGGAACGTCTGATGGGCATCTCAGGTGCCTCTGTTCCTCGCTACCCCCCTCGCTACCCCGCCTCGCTACCCCCTCCCGGGACCCCCCCTGCCCTCGCGCGGGGAAGGGAAGAAAGGGAAAGGGCTTGCCTTTGATTCAGAGGCGACATTGCGAATCCGGGAGGGCGATGTATCTGACCGAGAAGCCCCAGGAGGGCGGTGTATCTGACCCAGGACCCCCCTCGCTAACCCTCCTCGCTACCCCCCCTCGCTACCCCTCCGGGACCCCCCCTCCCGCGCGGGGAAGGAAAGAAAGGGAAGGGTGTTCCCTCTGACCGAGGATCCCCAGGAGGGCGGCGTATCTGACCCAGGACCCCCCTCGCTACCCCCCCCCGGGACACCCCCCCCGCGCGGGGAAGGGAAGAAAGGGGGGGGGCTTCCCTTTGATTCAGAGACGACGAGGAAAAGGAACG